GATAGGAACCAAATATGTCATAATGATAAAATAAAATATGTCGATTTTTTTCCAGATGACGATGACTATTTATTGAATAAACATTTATTTTCATTAAATACAAAAATTTACGAATTTATTTAAAATCGTGAATACTTAATTCGTTTAATCAGTGACTTCGAAATACTCACACCGTACACACTACTGCATATAGACTGTATAGTATATATATATATATATATATATACCATCATATAGCTTCGCTACGCGTCGCCACGGCAGAAATCGGTTTTACGTGCGGCTATAGATGTTTCACATCAAAACAATTGATTTATGCTAAAAAAATTTGAAGGAAATGTGTTACGCATCCCACGGCACAATTGCCTCGTGGTGGAGGGTTATGTGGGAGTTGGGACCCGCTACTGTGCATACCCACTAAAATCAAGCAATCGCTCGAGGCAGAACACGTAGCCTTTGCATCCTAAATGCATTAAGGTTATTCATCAGCAAAAAAAACTTACGACGTGACCTACTGACGCCTTGATTTGTATGAAAATGTGCACATTACCAAGCCTAACCTATTGTTACTCTCATACAACTATATTACCTTGCATAATGTACGTGACCTATTTTTGGTTAAAATGTCTGTACCTTTCAATAGCAATACCGCCTATAAAAACTAGCTGACTATCTCCAATAATAAAAAATAGGGGTTAAACGTAGAGGGGTGAAAATTGGGGGTTGTATGTATTTTTGTATGCTGTATCAAAAAGAAATAAAAAAATTTTTTTTTGGGTGGACACCTCTTATCCCTTAGGGGTCTGAAATATAGACAGTAGCCGATTCTCATACTTACTGAATATGCATAAAAATTTCATAAGAATCGGTCGAGCCGTTTCGGAGGAGTATGGGAACGAACATTGTGACACGAGAATTTTATATATATAGAGAAGATACAGAGTCGAGACTCCGGATAGTCCCGATTAGAATAGTTGGTGGAATTAGAAGTATTGGTGCTCTTTTCTTGAACACATTCCACAGGCTTAATAATAGGGTTATCAGCTATTGCATAGTAATGATGGCTAAGCATTTCTTGAAACACTGTTGCAATATGCAGTAACCCAGTTACAAAACGATTTACTCGGATTCGACTATCGCATTATGCCATATGGATTCAAGCCAACGCTTTATACGAAATAGGACAGTTAAACTGTGGTAAAGCTTTTACGAGAGCTTATCTTTATAATTCATGCGTTGTTAATATTTATCTTATCAAGGTTGGTTTAATACATATTTACAAAACACGCCTTTAACAGATTTTAATCGAAACTCAGAGAGCTAATAAAATAAAAATATTGACAAAAACTTAAAAAAAAGTGCATGCGTACAAAGTACACATGTCAGAAGTGAAACTTCTTTGGCAAACTAATTTTTAAGTCTTGTTCATATTTATAACAATTTAAAACTTTAGATTTTCGAGACTTAGAGGGAGGGAAAAAGGAAGATATGTTAGGAATTTAATGAATTTAATTGTCATTAAAATATTAAAAGTGTCGAAAATGATTACAAATTTAATCGTCAAAATTGTCTTCGATAATAACAACACGTGGCATTTTAATTTACAATTCGTCATTTGAGATTACAAGAAATTATTTTGCATAACATACAAAATACTAATATTTCATAAATTCTCTTTACGAAATTTTAATTTTAAAAATAGAATTTCTATAAGGTAATTCGCCCTTCTCACTCTCTCAATCGGTCTCAATCGCTCTCTCCCTTTTCTTCGACAAAAACGCTGCACATCTTCGTGATGCTTATATTATTATTATTGAGTTTCATCCGTAAAAATGTTACCCTCATACGCCTAAAGAAGTTTCACTTCAAAAACATGGTGTATCGAGCAGCCTTTCGGTTATGAGCGATTACTTCCAGGCAACCCTAAGAGAGTTGCCGGATTATATACCCAGCAAGGTCATTCCTCAATCGCTTAGAGCCCATCTTGTTTCTCACACAGATTTCCAGGTCTCAACATATCTATTTGACTTTATAAAAGTGTATAGAGCGAACTTCATCGAATTATATGAGGGGAGTACCCTCTTTTTCCTTACAAGATACATTTATTGATTTAATTATTTAGTTCTAGGAAAATATTATAAATAAGCCATTCTAAATGAACTGAGAAAGTTTGCGAAAATGTATACTTAAAAAACCAGTCTTTGTTACTTTGTTATTTCTCACGATACATTGATATAGCTTTTAGTGTATTTTTTGTTAATTAAATCAAAAGATAGGGATAAATTTTAGAATTTTAGGTAAACTTCGTCTTAAAACGGCTTATAACTACCACTCCCGTGGTCAAATTCTATTTTCAAAATACCAGTTACAATCGTTCTAAGAACAACTTTGTTTTTCTAATCTACAACTTATTTTTTGGGTACTACCCACATCCCATATACAAAGTATCAGTTAAATGGAGTGTGAGAGTTTTTTGTCAATTCTTGTCGTCCATTTTACGCTCTAAATTTTAAAGTTATTTAACTTTTTTGACGTACATACGTGTATATAAACAGGGATATCTATTTGTCTTTAAAAACTATATATCTGGTGTGTAATAAGTAGAAAGAGATACAAATATAGGTACATAATTCAAGTAAGTAAGTTCAAAATGGTACGTCATAGCGGCATTCCTTGTATAATTAGCGGTCTCCGGTCGGCAGACCGTTGGTTTCTGATAAAAATAAGCTCATTTATATACAACGGACAGACTGCTTGTCGCCACACATCTAAATGCCTTGAAGCTTTATCCACTGTAGGCCTCATTAGTCATTGACTCCGCCATTTAATAAAGGTATATAAGAGCTTTTAAATACATGTGTCTTACTGAGACATCATGGAACATTACGATCTAGCCTAACTAATAAGTAATTAAAGTCTACCCTATTTAACATAAAAAAGTGTCCAATAACACTACTTAGGCCCTTTCTCCACTGCTCCAGTCCGGCGTCGGATACCGGAATGAGTCATGAGAAAAATATCGGAAGGCCGGATTGCGCTTCTCCACTATATCCGATCCGACAATAATCGATACTTGTATATTTATCATGCAACACTTATATTAACTAAAACCCATATACTTTATATTATTAATAAAACGTTCTAAATTCTGAATATTTTATTGCCTTGGCAAGTTTATTACTTTTTTAATATTATAATCTACTTAATAAAACTAGTGTTATTACTAAATAAATAGCAACATAATTTGGTTTGGTCTAACATGGATAACATGTATCCAGATTCTTTCAAGTTAAGAAACTATAAATAAACCTGTGAATAATAATTTATTACTTGGATACTTGGACCGATAAAACACCGCGTTCCGATCTAGCAAGTTATCGGATCGTTAAAAACCGGATGCCGGAGTAGTGGAGAAGTACGTAAGTACTGTTGTGAGTTTCTAAATCGGATCGGTAATTAACGTTTGCCGGACCGGAGCAGTGGAGAAACGGCCTTACAGTCTCTATAAAGGGAAGACACTGTTCTATTGAAGTTATACTTCTTTTGGCGCGTTAGGGAAAAATGATGAGAGTAAATTTTCACGATGCGCGCGCACACCGTCACAAAAAACCGATACCCTGAAGTTAGCTATAGTCAACATTTTAGTTTTTTCTATTGTTAGTGTCGTTTTTTTCTACAAACGTAGAATAACATTTATAAAAAGATATCTTGTTACGCCAAAGAAATATAACTTCTAACGCGTAAGTACACACACTTTTATTTTTTCAGTTACCTTTGGTCGTAGCCTTAGTTCGTAGGCTCCAGCAGTCTTTTCAATTATTGTGGCGACGTTCACTACATTAAAGTCCCGATGGCCGAATAAAAATGATTTAAAAAAATTCTGTAAAAAATTAATCACTCCGCTGGCTCCGAAAAGTGTGTTTTGAAAAATAAATTTTCTTAATTCCATTATAGAACAGTGTATAAGACTCGAATCTTGAATATTCATTATACTCATATGAAGTAACTCCTACGCAACGATTTGAATTGAATAAGTTTCTATAGTGTTGTAACTGCCTTGTAATCATGTTAAACGTAATGAATTTTTGAAGTTATACTTCTAGCGCGTTAGGGAAAAATTATGAGAGTAAATTTTTACGATGCGCGCACACCGTCACAAAAAACCGACAACCTGAAGTTGGCTATAGTCAACATTTTAATATTTTCTATTGTTAGTGTCGTTTTTTCTACAAACGTAGAATACAATTTTTGAAAAGATTTTTATCTTGTTACGCCAAAGAAGTATAACTTCTAACGCGTGTTCATAAGTGCACAGTTTGAAGAAAAAGAAGTGTAAACAATAGAGCGTTGTTGGTAGGTACTAAGGATCAAAAGTACATAATAATAAGTGAGTCAACTGAGTACAGATGTCAAATTGCTTTTAAATGGCCAAGTAAAAGTTTAATGGATAGACGTCGCTCATAAATCTAGCTGCACGATAATAGTTTAATAATAGTCGGGTAACTGCAGGCAATCTTTTCAATTAGTTCAATTGCTCAAAACTACGTACGATGAATATAAACTAGGAGAGAGGCTGTTTGAATCTCATTAGCGTTTCTCAAAGGAATTAATTCCTCTATTCGATTTGTTTGACTTTAAGGCTATGTATTAATCGCTATTATATATTGAAATACTTTCCTATTGTCTGTGCAACATCATCAAACGTCATGATAAACACCTTGCAATCAGAGGAATATATTATACCCTTATGTTATGATCGCCAATTAGTTTGCATTACAATCTATACAATATTATTTTGTCTAGATAAAACAGACACCATAAAAGAAGCCAAACAAAAGACGGTCGTGATTATTCTGGGGATGAAACCAATAAGCCTTACCTAGTGGCTATTTTTATATCTTAGTAGAAATAATAACCGTTGGAAACAACAAAAAATTCATTGTACTTTTTCATTTGTTCGAATAATGTATGTATTGTTTCAGATCATGACTTAGCTGCCAAATATGGAGGAAAAAACTGTTAATGTCACTGACGCCCAAACTGGGGCTTCAGCTGAAGTTAACATTAAAGATACGTCCAGTGTAGTGGTAGTTGATATAAAAGTAGAAAATGAGATACTAAAAGAAGAAACTCAAAATGAAAGTGGTGTTATAGTTGAAGTGTTTGAAGACAAAGACTCAGTTTCTAAAGAGAACTCTTTCATTGAGAATGGTTTGTGTGAAACAATAGACGATGCACGATCGTTAGGTGACCTAGATAGTTTAGCGGCAGGGGACGAATTAGTGCTTGGGGCAGCGGGCAGTGACAGCGGAGTAGAAGGATGCGGCCGAGCGTTGAGCAGTGGCGGAGGCTCTCGGTCTTGTGCATCAAGTGTAGTTTCCTGCGGCTCAGGTTGTGGTTCAGAGAGTTCTTCGGTCGCAGGGGCACCTCCAAGACCAAGAAAACGTGTCAATGTAACAGTCTCAGAGCCAAAGAGAAGTTCCCCGATTACATCTACCCCTCGCCCGACAACGGCTCCTAGAGGACCAAATCTAGCCACTCGTGACCGTGCCCGAAGCAGAGAGAAGCCTATACCACCCGAGAAACCTCGGCCGTTGACTCCAAAGCCTAAAATTAGACCGACTACAGATCTTCCTAATCTTGTCAGAGAGAGCCCCGCATTACGTGCCAAACAAACCAAAACTTCCGCCGCTAGATGTAGAACGCCAAATTCACCTCAGACTGAAGAAAAGAAATGGCCAACCAATGGCCAGAGGCTGACCACTGATGCAGGAGCCACTCGTGTGGCGGCTGATAAATATGGAACCTTGCCGAGAAGGAGAAGGGACGATCAAGAGATGTCGCCGAAACATGACAGTAGCCCACCCTTATCTAGACGTCCCACTGTCACGCGTTCAGCGTCCTCGAGAACAGCTACAAAGACGCGAGTAAAAATTTACGCTGAAAAAACATCGCAAACTGTTTTGTTGGGTTCTGATATTGAATCCGCTTTTGGTGGCGTCGTTCCCAATATTGAAAGGTTATTTCCTTATTCTTATTATTCTTTATTGAAAAAATAGATATTCGGGAATGGACAGTATAAAAATACATTTTCAGTAGCTTTGACTGTAATTGCAAAAAACCGCGAAGTATAAATATTTATTCCACCCTAACAACTTATTTGGTTTCAGTAGAATAGAAGTGAATCGTTGTCATCGTGGAGTGCAAGCAAGTGCAAGAGACACCGAGACACCACGACTTGCAGCAGCCAAGGCTGCAGCAGAGGCCGCTGCTGCCGAGGAAAGAGAGCGCAGGTTACACGCAGAAGCCCAGTTGGCTGCCGAACGGACTGCAAGATTGGCTGCCATCGCAGAGCTAGAAAGAAATTCGCTGCGGCTTTTGGAACTGGCTGGCGCAGGTAATAAATTAACGATTTCTTAATAGAAATCGTCCAAATGCAATGTTCCCGTACTGTTAAAGTACGGAATCAAATATATTTATATGTATATAATTTATTATAATATCTCCTAAAACATCTATCGGTTTTATCTATATATCATGGCTGACTAAAAAACCACGTATTTTCAATAGAAATAAAAATCCAGATTAAAACTTTATTTAAAAGTAATCATCATTTAGTCGCTCTAAACTGTACTTTTGAAACTTATTTTCACAAGTGAATGACTTCAGAGTTTATCAGCAATCGTGGTTTACATTTTACTTTTTAGTTGTCACTTGAATGAAATCCGTATACAAGTTATTACTTGATAAGCCCGGCCTAATTAATGTCAGTCACATGTATTTACGATAACGGGTCACGCCTTTCGTTGGGAGCCCTTGGGTTATGCATTGGCAATATTAAAATAATTGTCAACAATTTCAGGCGCTGGCGCAGGTGCGGATGGCTGTCTACGAGCATTGGAAGAGCAATTACGATCCGCAGAAGACCTAGCAACTCGGCAGCGAGCAGAAAACGACTCGTTGAGAGACCACTGTGACAAGTTACATGCAGTAAGTAGTTCTATACCTAATCGTTTCCGCTATTGATAAATTGCCCTACTGTTTCGAAAGGGCTTTGACTTGTACATAGTTAAATAAAGGTTAATAGTGCATACTGTATATGTTCATATATTGTCTATAATCTACTAATATATTGATAGAAATAGAATTTCTATCAATCAATGTTCTAATGCGTTAATGAGAACGGTTAAAACACTACTCGCATTTTTTCATAAAAAAGAGGGTATGTCTATGGACATTATATTTTATATATTTAATTCCTTTGATATTAAGTCTATGCTATAAATCAAACCCCTATAGAAACATAAATGTATGTAATATTTTTATTTAATCAGATTATTATTTCTTTTATTTATGTAGGTAGCGCATAATTTCATTATTCAATCTTACGTATGGAAATTGAAGCTTAAGTATGCGATAAATATTTAAAATCTGAAACTCAGAAGTGCCTTGTGAACTTGAATAGAATATAATGAGGTCACATTCATAGTTGGAAAGTTGACGTTGAATTTTAGAGCTAAGCTTCTAGGAGTAGAAGTTGGTCGTTATGATAAAATGTTACATTTTATTCATATAAATATTATTTGTTGTTAATGGTAATTGTTTGCCCCATGCTCTTATCCAATAAATAACCAACGTAAGGATGCTTTTAAAGTATATTTAAAAAATGATTATACGTTTTAAAAGATACCTTATAAAAAATAAAATAAAATAAAAAAATAAAATATGTTTATTATGGAACATAACTTCTTTCCACGTCATTAAATTTGAACTTTTAGCATCCCTACTCATCGGCAAAAAACAGAGGGTGTAGGCCGAGAGAAAACCGGCGTAAATAACTCTCGGTACTCTTTTAAAACACAAATCATAAACACACTTATTTAAAACAAATATCGAAAATTAATTAGAAGTACCTGTCTAGACTAGTCCCAGGCCCTTTTATCAACTAGATAATCGTTGACTTTTAGTAAGCCTTTTTACACAGCTTTTCTTTAATACATTTCTTAAATTTATTGAAAGGCAGAATAAAAAAGCCTCTGGGATTTTATTAAAGAAGAGTATCCCTTTCCCACAAAAAAAGAATTACTAACTTTAGATAGTCTAGTACGGGGAAATTGCAGCCTGCGTTTGTTCCGTGTATTAACATTGTGCGTATGTTCTATTCTAGTAAACTTATCACTATTTTTGTATACATACATAATATTTTCATAAATATATTGCGAGGGAAAGGTCAGTATATTAATTTCCTTGAATTTATCTCTAAGAGATTCCCTACATTTTAAATTATAGATTGCACGAATAGCACTCTTCTGCAGGATGAAAATAGTTTCGACATCAGCAGCATGACCCCATAATAATAAGCCATAAGTCATTAAGCTATGAAAGTAACTAAAATAGACAAGTCTAGCTGTATCGACATCAGTTAGTGAACGAATTTTTTTAACCGCGTAGGCTGCAGAACTAAGTCTCTTCGCCAATCCGTTAATAAAACCGTTAATATACGGCACGGTATGTATTTATTTTATTATTCAACAAAAGCTTGCCAACGCTCGGCACACGGTACATAAAGAAAAATAAATGATTTAATGTGACAAGCACTTATAGGCAAACATAACAAACACGAATATAAAAAAAGATAGATTATTAAAACTAAAGGAAAAATGTTTTCAAAGTGTGAGGGGAGCAACTATGGATATTCAGAGTATGATGATCATGACAGGACATACATTTTCGCATTTATATTTAAGTCTCTGGCAATAAAGAATATATATTTCTAAAGCTCTTGGTGATATCCGCCAACCTACCAGATTACGCATTATATCTTTTTCCAGGACGCGTGCAAGGCCCGTGAAAGGTCACGCGTCTTCGAAGCGCGTTTAACAGAAGCAGAGCGTGAAGCGGCAGAAATGCAGGACTTCTTGGCCGCTGAGACTGGAGCTCTTGGGGACTCGCTACTTGATGCTGAGAATGAAATTGCCAGGCTCAACGCTGACCTTGAGAGAAGGTTAGGCGAAAAGCAGCTTAGGGTGTTTAATAATATATTTAGAGGATGTATATACTTCATAGAAAAACTATTAATAATTAAACTTTATTCATGACAGAAATATGGTTGTGTCATTACATCTTATCATTTTATTTTATATTCTTTGTAGTCGGTAACTGATTAAAACATTTCAGACGTGGTGAATGCCGTCAATTAGTGCGAATGTGCGAACAACGTCGTCAAGAGGCTTTGGCCGCGTCCGCTCGCGCTCGTTTCGCAACGGGCGCAAGTGTGGGTGGTGCTCACGCCAGCGCGCACGCACTCGACGCACTCGCACGTAAACTACGCACGTTGACTGATGCAGTGCGAGCGGCTTATGCGTTGCCACATCATGCTATACAGCCAACTGTTTTTCACAATGATGCGTACAGGTATGTCTATAAACAAATCATTAAAATTTTAATTGTAATAAAGAACTGTTGTGAATTTCTAACAAAAATTACGTTTATTTGAACAATAAAACATTATAATTATTAAAAATTTGACACATATTTGCTTTTTTTTTAATATAATTCAATATTGGCGTTTATAAGTGTATAGGTATATGAATAAATGAATTTTTATTTGATTTTGCATAATCCCAAAGACTACATCGTTTATATTATTACTATTTATGTGAAATACAATTTACATTAAGTAAACACAACAATAAACTGATCGTAATTCCATGAAGGAAACATTCTCAAAACAGAACACAAAAGTGAGTCAAATTTGAGTGTGAATAGCTTTTTAAATTCATAGCTTAAACTTGAACTTACTACAGACATTTCTTAAACTTTACTGTGTCAAAAGATGAAACCTTTTTTCTTCGCACTCTAAAGCCCATTATTAGGGCTGAGAGCTGTTAGTTTTACGCCGTTTTTTTTTTTGAATTGTCTATAATATAATTGCAGTCGTAGCGACAGTGGCGATACACTGTCCCCAGAAGAGGAATCCAGGGGTGGTCTCCTAGGAGCAGTGGTACGTGCACTGCGTACGGCAGCGGCGAGCGCGCCCGTACTTACGCACGCTGATGATGATCGCTCAAGGATATCCGATGATAATGATTCAGCTGAATTACTTGATTCGGAAACAGAGCCCTGTTTGGTTACTGATCCGGGTACGTTCTTTATTTTAACTTTTTAAAAACGCAAGATAGTTTTTCTTTCCTGTTCTTGTTTTGTTTTGATTAGAGATGCCTAGAAGAGATGATCTCTAAGTTTCATTTTATTATGTCGTAGCTTAGTGATTAAGTCATTTAGAGCATAATAAATGATGAATGATGAATTTCAGAATGTGCGGAAGAGTGGTGGTCGGGCGCCTGGAGTGGTGAAGAATTGTCTCCCGAACGAGATTCTTTCGGGGACATTGATAAAGGTCTGACACATTTTGTTAAATACCGAAATTTAACTCATAATATATTTTTACTTTATTTTTTTCATATAAATACGCGAAGCGGCTTGTGTAAGATCAAATTTATCATATTTACTAAAATAGTTTTACACTTGTTTCGTCTCTTCATTTCTTAATCGAATTATTATATATTAATAATTAAGATTAAATAATGCAGGAAGTAAAATAAAATCAATCTAGCGAAATTTAATGTATTCATTTAGGTGGCATAATGAAATCGATAACATTATTATTTATATATAATAATTAATACATTAAACAGATCCAGAATCTAACTCCGGATCTGAGCGCGAATCGCTCCGGAATCTATCAGCGGCTATTGCGCAAAGGCAGAGGACCGAAGCGGAAGCGGAAGAGGCGGCTCGGGGATGTCTTTTGGACAAGGTGGTGTTATTGGACCAGAGATTGGCGGAACTGGTTCGAGCTCTCGCATTGGCCGCCGCCGCAGCGAGGCATAAGGACGCGCCCGCTGCTACGCTCGCTGATACGCTCCGGTACGTGCATACGTATTTACTATTATTCTGTATTTTGATTTTCAATTCAGGCTAGACACAAAACTTTTAATTAATTTCGTAAAAAAAAACCATTTATATTATACTTCGTGCTTAATAAAAATATGGGCGTATTTCATATAAAAATTGTTCTTTAAAAAACTTCACTAATGTGTATGTTTTTTTTTTTTTCATTAAAACAAGACAAGACTAAGAAATGTTTTTGTTTATAACCTCCTTCAGGTTTTATCAATAAATCAGTTGTCAAAAATCAAAGTTGATGGATCTTCATCACAATATGTATTATTTTAGAGCCAAAGCTAGCGATGGACGTCATTTCCAAACAGCTACTTCATAACATTCTTACTGACCTATACAGTATCAAAACCGCTTCCACATTAGGTGCTCAGTACATTCGCTACCTTACAGGGAGAAATTGGATGTGACTGAAAAAAAACGTGGCAGACGTGGTCGTGAAGAAATTAGCGGAACTCGATGCCTCAAAACACATGATGGAGCAGTACAGACACTCCATTGAAGTGAGTTGTTTATTCGTTACATATCGTTAAAGTTGAGGAATGTTTAGTTATATATTATAAATAATTTTCTATCAATAGCAGTTAGGGTAAAACCTTCGTTCAGACTTAACATACATACCGATTGACCGATTTTGGATTTAAGTCTTAACACACTCCGGGCGATGTTTGAACGAGATATATTATTGATAGCCATGCAATTTATTATATTAATTAAAAATTAAACGAATTCGATATTAAAAATGTAGGGCCGCAAGTCGTAACGGTTTTAATATGAAACAGGTGTTAACATTCAGGCCCTGCTTGGCGATCTCGAGTCAAGAATAAAGATGCGAGGTCCGAACCCAACCGTAACGTACACACACGCTTATAGACGCACACTCACGTATACGTTTACGTATGCTCTCTTACACTTCGCTTTATAGTATTATATTTTAATGAAAGGGTGTAATTTGGTACACGTTTTGTTTTGTTTAGAACTATCTGGGTTTGACATTTTCTACGGTTTATTAAATGTGTATTTTTAACATATTTATATAATCTCATTTGAAATAAAATACAGACTTTTATTGGCATATTTTATTTACATACTTCTTTAAGAAAATTAAAGCATTATTCTCCTAACAAAACAATGCTTTAAAATATTTTTTTAAATATTAAAGTAAAATGTGTCCCAACTCAATTTAAGTACAAATAAGGTGTGGTGAGCGCGCCGCGCGCAACGCGCTGGTTCCGAGTCAATAGACTAATAACAGACTTTTTCCGTTTTGGCGCTATTTCGTACATACGAATTTGAGTAATGTTTTGTTGGATAAAACTTTAGTAGCAAAAATGTCAAGCAACGCCGACGATACCGATGAAAATTGAACTCCACCTGACATTCTAGAAACTGACGAATAGTCTTTTGCCAGAAAAATCAAGAAAAGCGTACGACAAATGTTACCAAGACTTTATGACTTGGAAAGCTATAGCTATGAGATTAAATAAAGTAGTGTATGCAACTGCATAATATAATTAGGTATTAAAACACTCGTGTAATCTTATTTTTTTGAAACTACACTCATGTTTTAATACCCTCTATTATAATATGACAGTTGCATAAACTACTATTATATGATGGCGTAATTTGGTATCGTAGTTGTATTTTATCATTTCGAATTTTCAATCAATACTGATTTCGGCAGCTATACTTAGCTATCGTCAAAAGACTACTATGAATTTTACGATGGTTTCATCAAGTAATAGTTTAAAAACCGCTAATATTAACATACTTTTTTTAAAAGCGATCTATTTTCACTGTAACACACTATTAGTTACATATACTTATTATAATGCTTTCGCTTTATTTACGTTCTACATACACATACTCTTCGAAAGAATTGCTTATATCCGCTTAGGATATTGCGATATGTATTTTCTGTAGTGGGCCTTACAATTATATACGTATAAATTATGTATTATAAGCTTATATGTGTAGCATTATATAGAGAGCATACATAGCTGAAGGCGGTGACTCGCGACCTCGCACCGTTTGTAAATTATCCACGGATTTAAATGTATATAGAGACCGACGCTTACGAAGAAAAGCTCGCAAGACTTTTCGCATAGTTTTTCTTTGGCATTCGTATAGCTTCGTTATTGAATTTTTTTTGATTTGTGTAATAAATGAAAATTCATTTCACAGACGCTCAAAAATCAGCTGGTCCAATCCACTGAGGAGGACGACGTCGAAGTAATTGAACGGGTAAAGACAATTATAAATATAATTGTAAAGACAATTATTTTTTATTTGGGAAAATAATTCTTTAATACGCGGTGATTACAAATTGAGGTTTAAAACTTTAAAAGTAGTTATTATTTAATGTAACTGGAGGCAAATGGGCAGGAGGCTCATCTGATGTTAATGGACGCCAATTTGCCAGATTGCCAGGAAGCTCGCATGTGCGTAACTGGCCTTTTAAAAATTGATGCGCTCTTTTTGTAGGACCCTAGTTTATTAATGAGTGATTTGTTATCAATGTTTGATGCTTAAAATTTTATGAAGTGAACCTCACTAAAATTTCAAGCATCAATCATCGTCATTCACGTCTAAGATTTGTATAGCTTTTTAGTCTCTAAATCGTATTTTGACTGATCTGATAGTTGGTTCGATTCCTTAAACATTACTATGAATAAGTTGATAAAATAAATTACCTAACTAATAAAAATTACGCGTGACTTAGCGACTAAAACAAAGTGTTCGTGGGATTTATGTATCTTTGTTTTAAATTTTTTTTTGTAACAGGAACTGTCATCCTGTGAGGAAACCGAACGCCGTCTCCGCTACGAAGCCGTAGAGGGCGCTCTGTCAAGTCTCTCATCCTTGGGCTGGCCTCGACTTATGCCTTTGCGATTACGTCTCGAAAGATTAGCTTTCGCACTCGCCGCTCCGCCGAGGCCGGCGCACGCGCATAACACTTCGCCCCTAACCCCACATCCCGCTGCCTGCACTTAATTCTATTGGTATGACTTTGAATTAAACCGTGACCGTGAAACGTGCGAATAAACTGCCGCAGTTATTATAAAAATGCACATCAAAATTAACTTTTATTATTACATTCTATTAACCGCAATAAAATTAAGTTGTCAGCATTCAGTATTAAGAGAACAAGTATTTAAGTTTTACTTTTTATATACGGTTTTTGTTCATTAAAACCGCGGTTTGTATGTATTCTGTGCAATTATCACTCACCGACTTTACCATGAGCTCGTCTATGCGCAATGTCAATAGTCTGTGCCAAATATTTCTATGAAAAATCTTATTTTTAAAACTAATATTTTTCATAAAGTATTTTAATATGTTGTCAAACTCATAGTCGACTGGTTTTATCTAAATATTATTTATCTCCTAAGAAGGACTAAAACAGGATGTAAGGTCGAGGGCGATCAGGAGGAGGTGATGAGGCCCTGGGACCTATACAGGTTCTCGATTGTTATTAATTCTAGATCCGCCCTTAAAAGTTTTAGGGTTGTTAACAGGGGATAAGATTAGTTAGGCAAGTGTCAGAAATTATATTCGATCATAGATTTTAGATCTTTAAAAAAAGGAAGATTTTACATTGCGATTTCGATGTGAATGTGTACCAAACGCACACAAATTCTAAATTTAATTATTAGGGTGGATTTTAGGGCAAGAACGTGTAAATTTTCTTATCGTTAGAAATAATGTTTTTTTTAAAGATTAAATACCTCTACGAATAAAAAGTTGAAAGTTTCCTAACTACTCGATAAACTAGAAACGATATACAATTGAGCTTTTAAGAATTCTGTTTATATGAAATCGTTCCTCTTGTAAAAACAATATTTTTAAAAGTAAAGTCTGTATTCTAATTCGTATCTCAAGTCACAATATTATGCGCTATCAAAAGTGTCAAACTTCATACAGAAAAAATATTTAACAGCTAAACTTGATTTAGGTTGCGTTCTAGAATACGGGTTTAAGTAAATGGCTGGAATCGTTCCAAGTTTCATCAATATACTTAAATAAATTAAGAGGTTGTTTCAATAAAATACTCTATATATAGAAAAATGGTCTTCGTTTGAGTCCTTCACCCTAAACCACTATCGTATCGACATGAAACTACCACCATTATAAATTTTCCCTAGATGGTTTATGGCTATTATTTATTAAATTCCAACGTTCCTTCATTTTTTAATTGCTGTTTTACTTTTTGAAAGTTCCATACGGACTTCACCCAAACATTCGGGAGGCTTCCTAAACCTCAAACGTCAACATCTGTTAAAACCATTTTCGAAATATTTCAATTTTCTTAGGGAAGTTAAAGAAGAATAATAAAAATATGAAAAAAATAAAATAATGAAACATAAAATTTATTTTAATTCGTCCAGCAAAGCGGGCGCGAAACGGCTATTAGATATATATTAAATCTCGCCAATTGTAATTTAAACTTCGCGAACACGTCCCATAGTTAACGGATTTTTTCTAGAGAAATTACTTTTCAAACATTTCAACTTGAATATGACCCCGCTACAGTGCCACATACTTTTCTTGGCCGGTAAGAGCGTCACTGTCATGAATATTAGTATTACCAGTAAATAAAAATTTAACATTATAATAGGAATAATTTGAAGTTGGCAGGTTAACTTTATAATTTATTGAAATGTGTTAATAAAACAATGTATACTAGTATCTAGAAAATACAGTTCTAGGCTTAAATAAATGTTACACAAACTTAGGAACAACTGATATGATAGGTTTTGTTAAGTACCTGTACTATTAATATAAAAAAGGGTGCGTGTACGCGCGTAAGAAGTTATACTTTTTTGGCATTATTAAAAATAGTTTTTGATTGCATGCAAACAATTAATTACAATTAAATAATCAAAGACGGGAAAAGGAGTCATTATAGTCAATAAAGTTCAGTTTACATTTGAAAAATTAAATAAATATATATTTATTATTATTCTCTTACATTAAGTGTAACATAAATTCTATTATTATTCGAATGTTGTTTTTAAATGATGTCCAATGCCGTAGCATCTTCCGTGGGCAACTTCCTTCTGTTAATTTTGTGTCACGGTGCGCGCGCATCGTAAAATTTCACTCTCATCAATTTTTCATAACGCGCCTAAAGAAGTATAACTTCAATAACTTTTAAGGTACCTAGCAATCAGAACCGTTCGATAATTAAAACTTTGCCATTGTAATTAATAATGCAAGGAATAAAAATAAATACATTTTAGTTGAATTTTTATTAGATGTTGGTAGATAGTAAAATTATTTATTGAGTGCACGTTGTGTTTGGGTGGTAACTGACAATGTCAGTCTGATATTTCAAAATGGCAGCGTTAGTACCAATTTCAGCCCTCGGCCAAGAAAAATATGTGGCACTATATGTCTGACTCCTGAATGTCAAAAACTAATTAGATTTGCCATACTCAGCGCTAAGAATATTACCATAAGGTTGCCTAATAGACTTTCTGAAGCGTTTACTAATCTGTTGGTCATAAAAATTTATTTTTAAAAGTTTTTAATGGAACAACCTTCCACAATAGCTGATAATTTACAAAAATCGCTTTAAAACTTCAATTTCATATCATCCGTCCTGGTCAAACGTGCTTGCCAGTAGTAAATAAATCGTAGGCTTTTAATAATAAGAACATATTTTTCATTAACGGCTGCATTTTCAGACTGACGTTAGCTATAATTGTAATTCACGCAAATCGATATTTTAATAAAATACACGTTACAGGTTAAGTTTACGCACTATACGTTCCGATACACAAAAGTTAATTAAAGACGCGTCTATTGTATATCTATCGCTGAGCTGTGATTGGCCGAGGAAATGCTAGCAGCTGTTAAATGTTGAATTGTTGAAACGTAAAAATTGTGTAAAATGAAAATGTTTCTCTATATTCCATCAAATTTAAATTTACAAATTTATCCCTTTCATTAATTTAATTATTCTTAGTACAACGTTTTTAACTAATTATATTAAAAAAAAATAAAAAAGTTTTCATTTGTTTCTGTCGCGTTTTGGAGATTATTGACCCCCCCATGTATCTCGCCGTATCGTCTCTTTAGTTACTATTATGTGGTGTAAGTCGAAAATAATATTAACAATAACGCGTAATTCAATCCCCGCCCCACATCGTAACGTTTTACAAAAGGACCCCCCCCAAAACGCGTTACGTAATACTTGAACGCACCCTAATGCGGTCCATTTAGTTTGAATAAAAGGGGATGTAAAAGCTTCATTTAAATGGCTCTTGTGTATTATGTTAAGGCTCTCCCTCATTCATAAAAATAAATCGGCGTTTTTAACTACACTTCTCTTTCGTCTCTTTCCATAAAATTATGTTTACGCTGTGTTGGATAGAGACACTTGAGAACTTTAGTTAAAACGGTACAATGGTACACAGATTTTATATGAATAAACGGGAATATTTATAAGTATACAATTATCACTATTCGGCCATTTATCTAGTTAGGAGAAATTGTTGAGTCTTGTTGATAAAATTATCGTAGTTGGTGTATGTGAATAGTTAACGAGTTTGTCAATGTTTTCCGACACGTGACTTGGTCAAATTCCAAGGTACGTGCCGAAACCGATAAAAAACTTTTAGCAAAAGATTAACGCGGTGAAATGATGGCTGACAGCCGAGCGGCCATCTTGGTTTGATCTCCCATAATCTACAGATTATAAAGGATTCTTCGTATTTTTATTTAGGATTTTTCTTTTGTATATTTATTGCATTTTTAAATATATTTCATTCCTAACGCATTTATACTGCATTGTGTTGTGTGCAATTGTATTTTCTTTTTTATATAAGTTCAATTGTAAAATTGTTTTGCCATATTGAATATTTTGATCACAAATCATGTAAGGTGTGCCATTGTGTGTTAATGCGTAAACGCAGTGACAAAATTGTATACGTACTATGAAACTCTAATTATGTTTATAGTACGTATTTTAATAGGAAATCTCTAGTCAATTGACAATCCACAAATTTGCTTGTAAGCTTTTCCGTTTTGTTTCCGTTTTAATTAAATTTAAAATTAAGGTAATGCTTTTGTAATTTTGAGACTGGTTTATCTCATTTTTGATAAGGGGAATGATTTAATTATATATGTATGGTTCTTTAATAACTGTTCCGGGGATATTTTTGAAGATGGATAGTTATGCGTCTGTTTAATTTTTAAAGGCAAGGCTGATTACTAAACAGCAACTATGAGAATAAAAGGCCCTCGAGGTTTAAAAAAAGTTGTTTTTTATCTAATAATTAAATCACTTCCCTTTGGTAAATATTATTATTTCTTTTGCTTGCATTAGGTGAAATTGATTGTATAAAACAATTGATAGATTTGATTCCATTGCGTTTGTAATAAATACGAAATTATGTAAATAGTGTTGTAAATAAAATATCTTTTTGTAATATATTTTTTATTTATATCGACCTAAACTGTCTCTCTTAGTCAAATCATTTTATTATTTAGTTATTTACAGCATCCTAAACAGGTGTGACGAGACCTATTTTTTTTTTAGAAATGGGTCTGTTTTCTACTTGACCTAGACCTTGGGCGTAGAACGGAAGAGAAGAACTGGCAATAAACTCTCCGCCACTCTTTTTAATCGCCAAGTTTTTGTTTTGCAACGAAAGTTATCATACTATTGTATTCATTTACATATAATTACTTACTGAGTAGTGTTGGTAGCCTAGTGGCTTCAGCGTGCGACTCTCATCCCTGAGGTCGTAGGTTCGATCCCCGGCTGTGCACCAATGGACTTTCTTTCTATGTGCGCATTTCACATTCGCTCGAACTGAGACGGAAAACATCGTGAAGAAACAGACATGTCTTAGACCCATAAAGTCGACGGCTTGTGTCAGGCTCAGGAGGCTGATCACCTACTTGCCTATAAGATTGATCATGATCATCAAAAATGATCATGAAACAGATTCAGAAATCTGAGGCCCAGCCCCAGATCTGAAGAGGTTGTAGCGCCACTGATTATTATTATAATTACTTAAATTCTCATGGATTAATTTTGAAAGAAAACTAAGCGCATTATACTTTACCAAAGCTCTGTAAAGCAAAAGCTTATTTAAAGGTTTATATTTCCATCGACACAGTAATTGTTTCTAAGGCAAATCACAGCTAGTTACCGAAGAAAAATAGAAATTACCTGAATCACAAGCAGATTTTATAGATTCGAAACGAAATATTCCTCCATTTACATTCAGTAAAGCAACCATAACATGTTATTTGAGACAGGTTTTTTTATATTTATATTTATCGATCTTCAAACCAAATCAAACCTTTTAAAAGACAAGCAAGGAATATTAATGACGTCACCATAGCGGTCATAAATTTACATACTCTTTGCCAGCGGTAGTTGCTAAACTAGTTGGGTGGTAAACGACAGAATTGATAAGCCGAATTAAACTTTGTGCTACAACCAGTGTCGTCGTTATGGTACCTATCAGTTGTTTTGTTTGTCACACACATGTAAAACTATGAAATCAGACATTTGCATTACCTTCACTACCCTTCCAAACCTTAATGCCCGCCTTCCACTGCGAGCGGAACGGACCCATTACGGACTCCGCTATACTCGTAACGATGATTTTCATACATTTTCGTTTCCGTGGGAAACTCGGTCAACTTGCTAACCTCATATGTGACTCTTTCAACTCGCTCTCTCCGCTGCGCTCGTCTCCGCAGTGGAAGGCGGGCATAACCCTTCTCACATTCTGAGAGCTATTAAATTCACTGATAGCATTTTTAATCATTAAAGGAATTAATAAAAAAAACTGTTTCGTTTTAGAGAACTTTTAATTATTACACCAGTTATTACATCGAAGGTAATTTTAGATTTCGCAGCCTTTATATTGAATTACATGAACAAGTCTCAGTACGATAGACCGAACCGGTAATTTATACAATGTATAAACGTATTATTTACAACCCTTAAATTTAATTGATTTATAATAAACATTAAATTATCTACAAAAGCTTGAAAAGCGGAAACTTTAAATACTGAACCATGAACCTAAGGGTGTATATCAGATAATCTCCTAACCATGAGGTAAAGTTTTTAGTCAACAGCCCGAAATGGAAATTTACGTCGTATTTTATGGGCCACACGTCTAAGGATCTTTGGTAGTTAAAACGCATGTACAACAATGAACTTTCGCGTTTAAGAAATAGAATATAATCTTTGAATATCGTGTATTACTTGTTAAGTCAATGAAGTGCCAAAATGCTCCTCAATAATACGAAATATATATATGTACATATATATAATTAAATCTTATTTCTAAGAGCGGTGCTAGAAAAACACGTCGGTCCATCAACTACTAAAAGATCCTTATACGTGTTGCTTCACTGATGAATTTTACCAAATCCAATAGAAAGTTATATATACGGATAGAATATAATATATATTAAAATAACATTTATCACCTACAAGGTGCTTCAAAATTACCACTTGCAGTATACAAAAGTAAAAAATGTTTACACCAGTGTGATAGAAATAAGTATACAATATTTCACTTTAAAAACGGGGTCCATGAGAAAAATTATCATAATTTCTAACATTCACTAAGCAGAATTAACTTCTACGTATACCTTAAGTATAAATACATCAGTCAGTGGGCTGCAAGCTATTTGTCTATCTACAACAATACAGATATGTTGTGAGCGTATTAGAACAATTATACAACTGTTAAATTCGATATCTTCATTCTTTCATACATTTATTGGCGCTAGTCTACTACTTTTCATCAGTAGCCCGTTATTAGAACAATTATACAAAAGTTAAATTTGATTATACAACACAGAAGTTCCTGATATCAAATTTCTGCATATATTTCGATTAGGTCAACTCTGTCTGACACTGTCAATTGGTTCTACGACATTGTTTCCGGACGTTTTCTTTACCAAGTTATAATTTAGAGAAAAATAACAATATTAATATGAACGCATAAGTTGAGGTTAGCACTACTAACTTACTAGGGTAATACTAATCCAATTGCATTCAATAATTTAAGTAATAATGTTCTTAAGGTCCTTAATAAAAATAGCAGTGTTTTTATCATAAGCTCACAACACATCTACGATTCATCACTTATAACTAACAAATAAACAATACTTGTTCGATTCTTTCTCAATATACAACGACACATGGGCGAACGATCGCCAAATGCATAAATTAATCGATTTCATCATTAATGGAAAATTCACTATAATACGGAATGAACGGTTGCCTCGATCTTAAACAAGATCTTTAACTAAGAAAAAACATGAATGTATCAAAACTTGAAAAATCAACGTAATTTTAACTGAAGTATATTACTTTTGAAACAGCCTCGTAAATTCAATAGCGATTCAATTCAGCTATATCGAAATTTGCCATTCAAGTTCTTTCCACCAAGAATGATTCTTAAGAAAAAATTGCGTTTCAATAAATCGCTATTAATTTTACGCAGAAAGCATCGATTACAGAGGCGTGAAATTTTCTAACTACCTATTATCTACCTACGTTAAGTTTATAACATAAACATTGAAATCCAACTGAATCAAAATTCAGACAAGAATTTAGCGCGAACTATGTGACCCATATATCAAAAACCAATTCACTTTTGACGTACGGAAATCACGTAACGCTAAATCTCCTTCTCATTGTTACCCTTAACTCTCCCCGCTAAAGCCTACTTGACAGATACTCAAAAATTCGGTTATTATTCGAAAAAAGTTATCATTTAACCTATTGACAACTCTGCTACCGTTCTACGATCTTATTCACCTCTCATAAACAGACACGAGAGTAATACGAACAAAAAATTTAATTTCCAAGTTTATAAAACAATTTTCCATCGCTATTTTAACTTTTCAAATTGTAAATCAATAAAATATAAAAAAAAATATTTATTATGGAACATAAGATACATGTATCACTTATACCACGTCATTAAATTTGAAGCAATCAAGCAAAAGATATTAGATTTAAATCATAAATATGCCAATCGTTGGGACAATACTATTTACGTTGAAGACACTTTAATACAAGTAGTTGAGATGTTTAATGTGCAAATTATAAGTATTTGCTAAATGAACGCGAACGTCAACATTTCAAGTGTATCCGAATGATCAGATGAAATCTCTCTAAGTTATAATGCCAGTTCTTTAAGGGTGAAAGAACGGACAAGAACTGGCAATAAACTCTCCGTCACTATTAAATCGGCTATCACAATGGTTATTATATATATTCACTTGTAATGAACCTTATTATGTCATATATATGAGAAGGATTATAATCGTGGAGCGAGATATTTAAAAAATTACGTAATGTAAACCTCCTCCATCAGTATTTAAGGCAGTTATAAAATTATGCAGAATTGAAATCTATGTACATAAAGATTAGAATTAAGTCGAAAATAGTTCTTAAAACTTGTAAGAGATATTTTTAAATAAATTAATGTAAGCCAATAATATACGGCTTTGTGTATCTATATTTTCAATAATAATGATTTCCAAATAAGTTTAAATACAAAAACATGACATGAGATCCTATTCTTATTTCCTTGTTAAATAGCATATTTTGCTAAGAAAGTCATGTTAAATGTGTGTACGGCGGTGGTATTAACTCTTTTTAGTTATTAGAAGTTCTTATATATTATCGAATTATAAGAACTAAACCTTTCAATTGTTTAAATGTAACAGCGTTTTAGAAACCCATATTGATGTGGGCGTTACCTTTACTAACCATTTTAAACAATTTTTGAATCAAATTGCATAAACCGTAACTGTTTGATTAAATTAAAGATTATATAAACAGTTATACCACCGGAAGCGGTAACACTGCGCGTAGAAAAAGCTGTGCATGACTGAAGGACTTGTATCCACGGTCATGTTCAAAAAAAAACTAAATGACAAACGATTAGTCAATGTCATTTAATTCAAAAATCGAATATCCACCTGTCTCTGTGTCATCTACGTCGATAGATATAATCTGTGGTAGTCGTTGGCTCCAAAGGCGGCGTTGCATTTTGGACATTTCCTTTGTCGCGTCTCGTAGCGCGTCCGCAGACAATCCCAGCAAAAGACGTGGAAACATTTCGTTAACACGGCGTCCTTGCGTTTTACCTATAATTTAAATTACATTAGTTAATAAGAATTTTTCTAGTTAATCCTATAGATTGATGTTATAAACGTTGTTTTTTTAAACCTTAACCAGTTTTAATAATAATAAAAACTAAATTTATGATAAATAGGTTGTGACAACATTCATAAATATCGCTTGTCCCTACACTAAGGAGTCCTTGTGTTGTGGGTAACTAAATTATTCCGTAGTACATGGTACATGTTTAAAACAGTTTTTTTTAAAAGTAATGTACTAACATTTACAATTACGTCTTATAAGACATTAAGTATGAGTGAATGCGTGAGTATTTCAATGGGTGTGTATGCGCATGTGTTTGTGTTAGTTTTTGGAACTTCAAAGTCATGCGATATTAGTTAGTTTTATGCAGTTTTTTTCTTTTTTTAACTTTTACTAGCAGCGCCTCTCGACCTGCGTTAATATATAGAATTCACTTTACGACATACTACCAAATACTAAAAATTTAACAAACATTACAAACATTGTGAAACGATATTATACCTTGCAAGAGGGGCAAGTAAGGGTCTCCTTATATTCGCGTATTTCTTCTAGAAGCACTTCATCCATACTGCTACCAGCCTGCTCCATCTTTTTCATTCTCTCTGCCTTTCGACGGAGTATGGCTAACTCCTCCTGAAATCGTGAATAATTTATATAAAATTGAGAAAATTAACAGTTAAAACGAATAATCTGTGCTCTAAGACTTTTTGCAGTTGTGTTAGTTTTTAAATTAAACTATACAAAATTATTAATATACAAAAATAAAAATATATGTATACCTATATAAAAATAAAAATTTTTTGTTTGTTTTTTTTTTGTTAATGACAAATGCCAGATTGCTTTGGCCTCAAATTTCCGAAAAATGTTCTCAATAGGCAGGTAGGTTATCAGCCTTCAGTGCCTGACATGGCTTTAGACCCACGCCAAGACGACCTTTATTTGGTTCCAGGCGAAGATTTCATTTACGGTCCGAACCAGTGTTAAATGCGGATCCCAACATAGAAATAAAAATTTCATAAATAATTTTTATTTCTATGTTGGGATAGAGTATTGTCTATTATTATGTAAGGTATTTGATTTTCTTATTTGGTGATTACGTCATCAGTAATTATTTACTTTTTTACAAATTTTACCCACACATTGCCTATGCTTGAAAACGAAATGGATTTTTGAGGATTCCTACAAAAAATTAACTACTATTATTTTTGAGAGCTTTACTTACTTTTGCTGACAAGAAGGGTATACATAGCAGTCAATCTGCTTACGGCCTATTACTATATTTTAACGGCCCCTATACTTTTAGAAGACCTATTTTTTTTGCTACAACAAACAACTTGCCATGTACAATATTTGCGTATAAATAGTAATTATCAATAAATAAAGTCACTCACATGAAGTCTTTTTGTTTTGTACGCTTCTGCTTCGAGCGCGCTCGTCTTTTCGGCGACCACTTGTTGCGCCTCCTTCATTTGTGCGTGGTACTTTTCTGAAATTATTTTAATTTAATCATTACATTGAAGACTCACGCAATTTAACGTCGCCCAAAACGTCAAAATTTCAAAAATACTTTAAAAGATTTACCTTGTCCAAACAATATTTTTTCCAAATAATAGCAACTTTCTATAACGACGGAAAAGAGTTGAATTTGTTTATATAAACAAAATTTCGATTAATTAAGGAATCACGTTTTCGATTATACAAAATGCAATGCAAATATAATCACTGATATCATGATGTATTTCCCATCTGTGCTATTTCTTAGAAATCCCAAACTTTTAGCGTATTTCATTGATTTTTTAAGGTACCTCTTGATGTTCTGTACTTGCCTTATAACTACCAGAAACTATTTTATTTGAAATCGAATCTCAGAATCCTAGGTATGATTCACCACTGATGCAGTGAATTTATGCATATAAACTCCTTGTATTAAAGGTGCATAAATTTAAAAACTTTTTCTCAAAAACACAATAAATATTTAATGAGAATGTTCCGTTATTTATTTTCAAAGACATACCAAGATGCAATTTGAGATCAGCAGCGGATTGAGCGGACTCAATGGCTTTCCGCTTGTGCATTTCCATCGCCTGCTGCCGAAGAAGCAGTTCCTTCTCCACGGCCGATAGAGTTGCTTGGAGCAATCTCTCTTTCTCTTCTAACCTTCGGGCGACCAGACCCATGGACTCTATTTGCTGGTCACGGGTGACAACCTGTTAATGTCCGTAGGTAAGATTTATAATAATATATTAACACAAAAAAACAAATACACGTTGAATGGATTCCTCTTTCGGGATTTTGAAATCTGTTAAAAATGGGTCCTACACAGCTTTAAGCGGCTGTTAACGGCAAGTCTGATATTTAGTTTTAAAAATTTATTTATTTAGAATTACAAACAAACACAAAACATTTTTTTATGTAACGGAACAAATGGGGCTTACTTGATGTTAAGTGATATGTCGCCCATAGAAACTCACATTGCCAGAAATCTCGTCGAAAGTGCGTTGGTGGCATTTTAAGAATTGGTATGTTTTTTGTTGAAGGACCCTAAGTCGAATTTGTCGAAATTTCAGTGGCCAGCTGGTTCCACATTGTGGTGAGGCACATAAGGCATAAAATTAACTAGATTTCAAAATATTTTCATTCTGACCATGCCAACATTTACCAGTGTTCTATTCCATTAAATAAAATTATAACTTGGAACTTTATTACTAAAATAGTGCCTAATTGTTAATCAAAATCAAACTGTCATGTGTCAAATCCGAATTTGACTTGACGTCGAAAGAAAAAAAATGTCAAGTAATGAATTTAGTTCATATTTTATTTAATTTTTTTAATATACAGGATTCATATTTATTAAAAAAAAGGGTGCGTGTACTTATGTACGCGCGTAAGAAGTTATACTTCTTTGGCATTATTAATAATACATATGTTATAGTTATAGTTGATGAGCACAGTTTCTTCACAAATATTTTCTAATATTAATTAGTATTGATTTAAATATTCAATTTAAATCACTTCTGATTATAATTCAGACGCACATATAAAATTCGCGGAGTGGATAAATATTATAAATATAAATACACAGTGAACAGAGGCGGCGTGCGCCAACATGCGCCACTAACTTCATTCTGTTAATTGTGTCACGGTGCGCACGCATCGTAAAATTTCACTCTCATCAATTTTTCATAACGCGCCTAAAGAAGTATAACTTCAAAAATGTAATGACTCGACTCAGATCCTTGCTCTATATTTTATCATCGAATTGGAACGTATGAATGTATTTCAAGAAATAAAGTCAGTCAAGGAAATTAATGCGTCACTATAAAATCTAGTAAAAAACATAAATTATACAAATATTCACAAAACTGTCCATCAAATATTTATGTTTTACCTGTTCCTGCAAAAGCTGTTTCTCTTCCCGAAGTAATTTATGCAGAGAATTGGCCTTAATTCTCTCCGACATCAGTTTGAAGTTGGCATCGTCCTTCTCCCTCAACTGCTGGATAAGTCTGGAGTTCTGTTCTTGCATGTCTTCGAAAGCCTGACCCGTCACCTCCATCTCATTGAGTAGGGCTTCTTCTTCCTGTAATTTATTTATTGGTTTCAATTAAAGGTGTTAAAAACGCGCCTTTTGTGTAGGTTATATAGGGAGCTGAAAATTTACAAATTTTTCAAAATAAGATTACACAAGTGTTTTAATACCTAATTACATGCAGTTGCATACACTACTTTATTTAATCTCATGACTATAGCTTTCCAAGTAATAAAGTCTTGGTAATATTTGTCGGACGCTTTTCTTGATTTTTCTGGCAAAAGACTAATCGTCGAGTTAAATTTTCATCGGTATCGTCGGCGTTGCTTGACATTTTTGCTACTAAAGTTTTATCCAACAAAATATTACTCAAATTCGTACATTCTATTATTAGTAAATTCGTTCGTATAAAATAGCGCACATGGAAAAAGTCTGTTATTGGTCTATTGGCTGGGAACCAGCGCCATGCGCGCGCAGCGGCTAGTTAAGAGTACCAACCCTATTGATATATCCTTTGCTAGCACTAAACCAAATGTAGGTCGTGCGTCAGCAACAACCAATACTTAGTAAGTAAATCTGAATGTATAAATTGATGAAGAAATAGATATTAAGTTGATTATTGTTTAGTTCTTAATTAAGTGCTGTCACTCTGTTGATTTAAATAAATTATTTTTAAACCAAAAGTCCGTTGCCGTTCCTTTACTCGCTCACCACAGAATATGTGTACTTAAATTGAATTGAAACCTCCTTGGTCGGGACACATTGTACTTTAATAATTAAAAAATTGTTTTAAAGCATTGTTTTGTTAGGAGAATAATGCTTTAATTTAATTTTCTTAAAGAAGTATGCAAATAAAATATGCCAATAAAAGTCTGTATTTCATTTCATAATTAGAATATTACCAAATGAGATTATATAAAGATAAAAACAAACGAACCTACAGTATCATTTCGGAAACTAGTTTTGAAAAATCAACTTTCATAATGTGGATAATGTTAGCCCGACATGGACTCAATGTAATATATAATAGTACATAATGATGCAGACCTGTGATCCAGCAAAAGGCCTGGTGAAGCCATGCAAGGGATCTGCATTAGGCCGGGCGCAAGAGAGCTGCTTCTGGAGTTCGTACTTCTGCTCTTCCAGCTGTTTGATCTTCCGCAGCGCGTCTTCGTCTGCCATACGGCGCTCCCTTTTACTTTCCTGACAATTTTATTTATTAATACTAATATTAATATTTTTTTCAGACACAGAAAAAAAATATAAAAAACATCCAAACAAAATTTACAAAATTATCTAGATCGATCTAAGAATATTTATAAGAGTTCTTCTTATATATAGTTGTTTTATATCGACGTAGTGCTTGCTGGAGGGATAGATGATATGAAAGCGTTAGCAGGAAGCAAATGAAAGAAAGTTATGGATATTTGGAAAAAGCTAGAGGAGGCCTTTACCCGTGAAGGGGTTCCGATCAATGGTACTGAAGGAAGTTAAGATAATAGAATAACAAGAAAAAACAATGTATATAACAAATCTAAACTGTACATTTGTAAAGATTGGAACTAAATGGACTTTTTTATTATATATATTATATTGACATTGGTCAAATAAAAATACACTTTTACAAGGTCAAATTTTAACATTTTGAATAGGAAATAAATACAGTATTAAGTTTATAGAGCTATGTTGGAGGAACCGCGCATCTGGCGTTAGTCAGTAAACGAACCAAAAAAAGTAAAATGAGAGACAGACTGTAATTAATCCCCTACCAGTCCATGGCCCACGTTCTAATTTTCATGTCAAGACAGAATCTTGTCTTGAGCACTGTCAAATATGTCAAACTACACAGAAAAAATGGTTTAACAGCTCTTGGAACCTGATTTAGCTTATTACCTTAACTTTTTTGTCTGATTCAAGTTAGCTTTAATGTAAATTAATAATTATCTTAATTTAATTTTTAATGAATACCTGTGCCATTTTAGCTTTCTGCCTATGGTCTTCCAATTCCTGTCTGGCTTTTCGTTCTGCTGCCATTAATTGCACTTTGTCCCTCTGCTCTTTGCTCACTCCTTTGTACATATCCAGGAGGAGCTTCAGCTCTTTCTGCTCGTTTACCGCCTTCCTAAAAAAAATAGTTCCATAAGTATTTCTTTAAATGCACATACAAACATTAAAAAAGTCTATATAAACCACTTATGGCAGTGTTGGCCTAGTGGCTTCAGCGTGAGACTCTCATCCCTGAGGTCATAGGTTCGATCCCCGGCTGTGCACCAATGGACTTTCTTTCTCTTTGCTCATTTAATATTGGTTTGAACGGTGAAGGAAAACATCGTGAGAAAACCGACATGTCTTAGACCCAGAAATCTGAGGTTTTAGTGCCACTGATTTTATATAAAACACTAGGGCTCCAGCCTAGGACTCCGTGTGGTCGTAGGTTCATTCCTTAGTTGCACCAATGAACGTTCGCGAATTTAACAGTCGCTTATACGTAAAGGAAAATATCGTGATGAAACCGGCACGCACTGGTTTCTTTTTCTTTATGAATATTTTTTGACCGAATTCAAAATTAACACCTTTTTTGTTGGCATTCATAATTGCTATACGAAATTTGAGTTTTTAAACGCAATATAAAATTAAATAATTTGATGAAATATAAATTTTATAATAAACTGTTCCTATAATATGTAACTGAGAATATACAAATGATAATAAGTCAAGTTTGGCACTCTCTACATATGTATGTAAATGTGTGTATATATATAATTTAACGAAGTTACTAAATTTACAAAACATTTTTTTTTAATAATATTCAAGAACTTACTTGAGCTGTTGTTTGAGATCCTTAATAATGAGTTCTTGTTCCTGTATCTTAGCTCGTCCGTGGTCCTTCGGTACGGAGTGCTTAGTCTCGCCGCCACCGCTACTGGCGCCCTCTTCACTCTGAAAGGAAACTATCCTATAAACAATATTTAAAATACATTAAGTCAACGCGTTATCCACGATCAGAATAACTAGCGCCGGTACTCTGTAAGGGAGCGTTCATGTATTACGTCACGCAATTTTATGGAGATTCTTGACCCCCCCCTTAAATTCGTTACATGAGTGCTGATGTCGACTTGGTATCGCGCGATACAAGTTACAGGGTACCAATGCAGTTTCTTATTTGTTTGTGATCATGGCTTTTCCATACCAGCTTTTGTAAATTACTTATATACCTTTGGCACGCATATTTTTAAAGATTCTTTTGATAATCAATACAAGCAAAGCTATAGGTGGTCATTAAACTTACCTCGGGATCTGGCTCTTCCTTCTTAACAGCGAGTGGTTTCTCATCGGGTTGGTCTGGTGG